TATGCATGCATGCACATATATGTGTGTGTGTGTGTGTGTCCTTACACAGTTCAACTTAAGGGTTTTTACTTTTTTGTTTAGTTTTTTTTTTTTGTTTTTGTTTTTTTAATATGTAACCTCGTGGAGTTTTTATGTCTACTTAACGTCGGGAAACTATTATAAACTGACTTATGAAGGTTGATTTCTTAGTTTTCTAAGTCCATTTCATCTCCTTGCCGTACATGAGGTCTGGACACACGTCTGCATAAAATACACACACGCACAAGCATCGTTTTCGCTTTTAGTTAGTACAAAAGTGTGTCGTTACTCGTTATGAATGCATAGTGTTCTGTGTATCTGTCTACACGTGTATGTATACATGTATATACGTACACGTGTGTGTGTGTGAAGAATTCTTCCTCCACTATTGTCATCACTTTCTTACTCGTTGTCATCATATAATCAACACACACACATACACATAAATTTTTTTTTTCGAACTGCTGTTACGTGCGCTGATAAAGTATATATATATATATATATATATATATATCAAACACACGTAGATACCCGGACATATAACCGTGCACCTACATGTACATGGTAGTTTCTGCAGGTTGTCGCTTTGTATTGTGTTCAACATGGTTGGTACTTAGAGGAATGGATGGTAGTCGTTTATGGCAGATTTTCTCAAAACAACGTTTCATCACTCCATGTGTAAAAATTTCTCTTCCTGTCTCCTATATCCGTTTCTTTTTTTTCTTTTTTATAGCTTATATGAAACTTGTCTTTTTAGTCATATATACTACAGCTGCCATCTGTGTATATTGTATTTTCATTGTTGTTACGTACACACTACTAGTGTAAATAGTCATGTAACCACAGTCGTAATTTAGCTAGTATGCTCTTCTTATTACTACCACTGCCGAACCACCTGTGTGTGAGAAAGCCAGATAGAAGATATATATACGCACACCACTGTTAGTCGTACTTTGTGTACGTTAGTAGCATGCTCTTATGATTGCAACTGCCCGCATTACATTCAAATAGTTAGTATCATCATCACGATTATTATTAGTAAGCTTTCTCTCTTTACTTTTTAGTTTATTATATTTCCACAACACGCGTCTTGCCTCTTTTCGTCTCTTTCTGCTAACGCATTTCTAAGTCAAATTGAAGAGTTTAAGAAGGTTTAATTAGAACTTTACCGAAGACAATTGAATCATTTAACAAGAATACTATGATGATGATGATGGTTGGTTGGTTGTCATGATGATTGCTCTGGGATCGGAAAAATGCATTGCCATTAATGATTAAAAAAAAAATGTGTTACGATATTTATTGTTGTTATTAACTTGGTCGTGTTTAGGTAGTGACGATGATGATGATGGTGGTGGTGTCTGTTATGTTTTTTTTCTTTTTTTTTCTTTTTTATTTATTTTAAATTTCGGACGCGTGACAACATTGGATAGATTCCGGCTTCTTGACTTTTTTTTTGTTTTTTTTGTTTTTTTTATGTTGACAGTTCCCCCACCCCACTATTGTTCTGCGTGGATTTCCCCTTCCTTATAACCTCACTTTCTTGACATTGTCTCTTTATAAGGACAGATCCGATAGAAAGAACGCGTATGTAACGTGTGTGTGGGGTAGGAAAGAGGGTAGGAAGTATGATTCCGGGTGGAGGTAAGGGAAAATAATAATATTCATAACTATATATTAGTTGTCACTAAGAATATATATATATATATATAAAAAAAAAATTTTAAGACTTTTTTTTACCTAATTCTCTTTCTTTCTCTCTGTCTGTCTCTGTCTCTCTCTCTCTCTCTGTCTCTCTCTCTCTCTCTACATGTATATGAGGGGGCGCTGAAAAGTATTTCCAAAATAAAATTATCCGGTGTTTGGTCAGATTTGGGGGAAGTGGGTCGAGCCGAGAATTTTTCAGCACCTCTATAGCATTTTTATTTATTTATTTATTTTTTCTAAATTCGAATCTCCCGATAATTTTTTTTTTTTTTTTAATTTCTTCCTATTTTAATGTGGTACTTTTTTGGCACGCAGCATATTTATTGTTTTTGTCTTTAGAATTATTTGTTTCTTTCTTTTTTTTTTTTTTTACCTCCTCTCTCTCCCTCCTTCTGAAAAGGCCTCGGGTGGGTACCCGTAAAATCGGTAGGCACATAGACAACATACCAAAACAACAATCACAAACCAAGCAGTGGCAAAAAAGAAAAAATATATATAGAGAGAGAGAGAGGATATAAGACGTTACACACACTTTCTTTCTCTCTCTCTTTCAGCCACGCACGCACCTACTTAACACAAATGGGGCACCTGGTCCCTTGTCGACCATCTCGTCATTCTGTGTCATTAGATATGCACAACCATGTCAGGTGCTAGGTGCCACCACACCTCCTTGTTGATAGGGGATACACTCATCTCTCTGTCACGGAAAAAAATCCGGTTTATGGGTTGCCTGTTCTTAGTCTAGATCTGAACATGTGTATGTACGTAGGTGTCTGTCTGCTTTTTTTTTTTTTTTTTCTACTAGTGAAACTTTTCTCTCTCTTTTTATCGCACCAGTCCTCTGTAGAAGGTTTGTGTGCACTGACAAAATTCATACCATCTCCTTGTGTTCGTTTCATTTTTAGCTGGATCACGAAAGCAAAAGAATGATTTAGAAAACTCGAGATAAATTCGTAAATCTATTTTTTTAGTTTTGTCTGCATATTCCATAAGGTTTGAAATGTGGCACAGTGGTGTTTCTTTTCATTATCAACCAATTTCTTTACAATATGGTTTTAAAATTAAAACACTAGTAAAAAGAGATCCATTTCTACGAGTGACTCATCTCTCCTATTTTGGACCCCTAACGAAAAAAAAAATCTTATTTAAAAAGAAAAATATGTCGTAGTTTCAGAGATCATTAAGTTTGTTCATTTTTTTATTTTTTGGGTTTTTTATTTTTTTTTAATTTTAACGATTAAAATTGTTTTGGAGTTTGTAATAAATTTATATAACGAAGAAAGATTTTTTTAAATCACAAAGCAATCAACTAATTTTTCTTCATTCTTGTTTTTCCTCCTTTGTGGCGTTCGTTGCGAATAAAAGTGTTTTGTAAACTTAAAAAGAACATGTGGCGTCTTGCCTATCAATTAAACTGAAGATCTCTAATGCCGTTCTATAGACATATGCGTGTCCAACGTGGGCATTTGTAAAAATGGTGAGACATGTGCATCAGTCGAGGAATAAGAAGACTTTTTCAACAGTTTTTAAAACATTTTTGATATTATAGGATGTGGCATTCTAGTTCATCAGTGCTATTGTTAAAAACGTTAACATCTGTGCTCCAGAAACACCTTTGCTTTATTTTTATTTATTTATTTTTAGTCCATATTTTAGTCTTTTATTTGCTCTGTTTATTTTATCAATGTACGTACCTTACTGTTTTTAGTGTTTAATTTCAACATTAATTTCCACTCTTCTGTTTTAATTGTGTGTGTTTTACTGTTTGTTTTTGTTTAAAAATGTTTTATTACAAATGATATTTTAGAATTTCTTCATGACAACTTTACAAGTCTCTTTGTTTTGTTTTCCTAACTTTTAAATAATTTTCTTTTCAGTACGAATAGTAAACTAAGGGATTCTATGCATTATTTTTTTTTTAATTATTGGTCTTAAAGAAAAACGGGTTTCTTTCTTCTTATTATTTCACCAAAGAACAAGTTACCCCTGCTTTAGTTAATGACTTATAGAAACAGAGACAAATTTTTATTTCAAAGGATAAATTTCTCATAGTTTTTGCCTCATCTATTCATTTTTTTTTTTTTATTTATTTATTTTTCTCAAAATAAATTGATGCTGTCTTGGTATTCCAATACAACTCCATTTGCTTAAGCATATTTATTGCATTCAAAATGAACCAGTGCTCTATGTATGTATGTTAACCCTGTAGACACCCCCAAACAGTATACAGAGCCGCAGCTTCACCACGCTGGGAATGCTCACTAATTGTGTCAAATCCTGGTCTTTTTCAAAAAGCCAGTCTTCATTCATACACATTAACATTAAGCAGATGACGATCCATATTTTTCATTGGGCATCAACAGTTTTGACAAGAGGTAGGGTTTGTTTCTTTTTTACCATCTGGCTTTTTGATTGGGACCTTTCACACCTGCCTATTCTCTAGGGATTTCCTTCCTTCAGCCACACATTTTTTTGACTCTTTTTGGTTCCTTATTTGAAATGCCTGTTCAATCATTCTAGCATTTTTAACTGTATTTTTATTTCAATATTGTTTTATTCTGTTTCTTTTGTCTTGTTTTTTTTTTGTTTTTGTTTTTTAAACTTTTTTGATAGATTACTGAAAAGTATTTAGAGTGCAAATTAAGTTCTCCTTTTATGTTGAACAATCGTCATCCTCTGACTTTTTTTTCTTCTTTTAATATCCTATTTTCTAAATGTTTTCTTTTTTTTTCATTTCATTATTCTACACTTTGCAAATGATAAAGGCAGGATGAAATTATTTTTAAAAAAATGGTCATTTTCTGAGAACATTTGCAGTGAATATTTTAAAATAATCAATAATAGTTGCTTTGACTGCCAGTTTTCTTCTTGGGTGATGTGAGCAGCATCCAACTGTTTCAAGTCTTCTCTTTGGGATCTTGATTTCTCTCCTCTTCTTGCTCTCCTCTTCTTTCTCTTTCTACACTACACTGTGATCATCTCTCTCTTTTGGTATCTTTGATTTTCTTTCTCTCTCTCTCTCTCTATATATATATATATATATATATATATATATATATATATATATATATATATATATACACTATGCTCATCTCCTTTTTCTACACTGCTCTGCTTGCTTTCTCTCTCTCTCACTACACTACACTGTGCTCTTTTTCTCTCTCTCTGTACTCTTCTCTCTCTACACTACACTGTGCTCTTCGCTCTTTCTCTCTACACTCTTTTCTCTCTCTCTCTACACTACACTGCACTCTCTTCAGTTTTTTCCTGTACACATGTGTTTTTATTCTTTCATTATGCCTCTTATTGTTTCTCTTGTATTTCTCTCTCTCCCATCTTCCCTGGCCACTCTCTTCAACCTCCTTCCATTCTTAAATGTCTCTCAGTACAACATGGCACTACTATGCCTGTACGAGACAGACTTAGTACTAATGCTACTATTGCAACAGCATTGGTGCGTGTTTGTGTGTGTGTCTCTCTCTCTCTCTCTCTCTCTCTCTGCATGTGTGTTTGTATCTACTTTTGTCACTACCTTTTCAGCTTCATTTCTATAATAAACTGTGAATCTTAGACTCAAATATTTTTTTCTGCAATAGCATTTATTCTCTTTATGCCAAAAAAAAAAAAAAGCAAATTCTTCCTGACTTTTTGTTTCTCTGTCTCCAATGTTCACTTTTCTTCACTTTTCCATTCTTTCTTTGTTACATCAGTACTCATTTGTATTTTGTGTCTTCCAATGCCTTGCCCTCCTTTCTCTATCTAGGACATGATTGGTGCTGCCTGCCAGTGTTGGTCAGTCAAAGACACATGACATATTCTTTTAGCTACAGGTTGTTAGATAACCAAAACTCCTACACACATATTGGCCGATCCATAAATCTCTTTGAGTATCTTTCTTTTCCTTTCTTTCTTTTCTTCTAGATTTCAAAATTCATTCTCTATTCAAAGACTAAAATTTTGACTTCCTTCTCCACTTTTTATTTCGCATTGATTCAAGAAAAATAATTCTTTTATTTCTAAATTTTTTGAAAATTATTTTACTTTTTCTGGAACTCTATAGCAGAATGTCTACTAAAAATGAAAATTCTTGAGTCCCTTTTATCAAAGTAAATATTTTATCATATTCTCTTAATTTAGAATTTTACATTTGATTTTATTATTTATCTTGGAATACTTGCCATTTGTGAAATTCTTGATAGTTGCTTTCTTTCTTTATATTTAAGTTTTTCAAAGTCTGGTAGTTCTATATAATTAAAGTTTTTTTCCAAAATACTTCAGTTGAATTAATGTCTAATTTTATTCTTAACTACAATCAATAAAAAGGCATGTAAGCCTTTATTTTTTTTATTTTGCAAATAAGATCAAGATATGATCCAGTAAGACAATCTTATTCAGAGAGATGTCAGTGTGTGCCAGAAATAGTTTTATGAAATTACTTGGTAAAAAGTCATGATAATTTATCAAAAATAAGACTTAAAAGTTTTCAATTGTGTGAGTCAATCACCAAGCCAGTCTGACTTTTTTTTTTTTTTTAATTTCACGCTTACATGTTAAATCATGAAAAAGAGAATAAAATCAGACACACTTGCCCTGCCTTTGCTTTTAGGTAAGATATTTTCATTATTATCACTTTTCTAATTGATTCTAGAGAAATTGTATAAAACTTATCTGTGTCAATTTCTCAAATGTACCAGTTCAGTTCAGTGATTGGCTTAAGTAATTGTAAACTTTGTTGCTTTATTTTTTACTTATTTTTTATAAATGGTTTGGGTTTTTGGGGGGTTTTTTTACCTTGCAATTTAAGAAACAAAAACAGTTCATAACACACATTTTACATATTTTTATTCCAATGTAGTTTTTTAATTTTTTTTTTTTTTTTTTTTTTTTTAATCCAATACTGCCAAGTGTCTTTCAGTTATTTTTAATATAATTTTCTTGCTATGGAAATTTTTACAACTTATTTGTTAATCTTTCAATACTGAGATCAAATGGATATTTTATGAATTTTCCCTTCTTTTTTTTATGATTTTCTGTGTATGTAAAGTAATTATTTTTTTAAATTTTGATAAGCTAAATAATTTTTTTCTTGCATGGTTTAAAGGCTAAGTAGTCATTGACCTACTTACAATTTCTGACGAAGAATAATTTAAAATTTGAACTTGCCCTAGTTAAAAAGATTAGTAAGTCTTATCTATTTTTTTTTTTACATTTTATTTAATAAACACTTATATGATATAAGGGTATATATAGATATAAAATATATCTATATGCATTGAGAGAAAGAGAGTAGTTAAAGGCAAGTAAAAAAAAAAAAAAATAATTGAAATATTCTGAAATTATTTCTTTCTTAGTTGGTATATGGTTTTGATAAGAAATTAGTAAATGCTGGTCTTAAGAGTGACTCTGAATGTATTATTTTTAGTGAATACTTGTATTTGAGTAGACACTCCGAACATGCATCCCCTTGGGCAGAAGAAATTGTCATTAGATCCAACATGCTTTAGACTGATTTGTCCATGAAGAAATTTTGCCGATCAAGCAAGGTTGAATAGTGCGTTTAAGTGAAATCCTTCTCTTCACCGATTCTTGAAGTTTCATATTTGCTCAGTCTCGTATTCAAACTTAACAAAGCAATTTCTAAAGAAGTAACATTCACTGCTCGGGAAGTTAATTCCCTGTGTCATGCTAGAAAATATTTCTCACCTGAATCTTAGACGTTAGTCTCTCATTTATCCATGCATTGAATCTCGCTGTCACATCTGGCCTGGTGCTTCTACTATGTACTTTGTGATTCTTGATAAAATATAAAGAAGAATCTGCAATGTTATCAGTCCTGATCTGACATCTCAGCTTCAGTCATTTTTTTTTTTTTTTTTTTTTTTTTTTACTGCCATCCTCCTAAAGTCTACTTCAACTCTATACTTCTAACATCTCGGCCTAAATTCTGAAATTTTATTTACTATTCATTTATTTATTTTTCCTCAATAGCAGTAGATAGGGTCACCTATTCTCTGGTTCAAACTCCTCCCCGATTTTTTGAACAGGAGTAGAGGTTTATCCCTTATTTCCTGTTTAGGATTGTGTTTCCAGTTTCTTCTAAAGTCTTTTCATTCTATTTCACTCCCATTAACCCCTTGTGTCTTAGTGGCATCATCGGCTTGCTTCAGGTGAATTGATTTAAAAAAAAAAAATGTAATAAAGTTTTCTGCTACCTTTTCTATAAATATTTTCTTAGTAATTGTTCTTATGAGCTTTATTCTTTGGTACCTAAACTTTATGACTTTAAGCACACTACTAGATTGGTGGCAAGGTCCTCTTATTTTACAGTTGAAATGACTAGATGTAACCATAAGTTCTATGCTAACAGATTTTTCTCTCGTATTTCTTACTTGTGAAACTCTCTTCAAGCTTCTTGCTTTCCAGTCAACTTTGATCTTCAAAGATTTAAATGCAATGTTAATCATTATCTTCTGTCTTTTTAATTCCTGTTCTTTTATTGTTCTCGATCATTAATATTGTTTTCTTTTTATCATATTCTCTCACACTCAGTAGCACTTTGTGTCTTAGTGGCTTTATTGCTTTGCTTGGGGAGAAATGATTAAAAAAAAAAAGTCTTCACAAACAGAATTTAAAGTCCTCTTGTGCCACATTTTCATATAGAATGTAAATAAATGCTTAGCTTTTTCTCAACAAATATCTTTGTTTTGTAAAACATCAGTTTCTTGATTTGCCTACTTGAAATGCTTATCACACTCCTTTAAGGATCTGATTCGCTTGTAAAAGTTAAGTTTGAGCTATATATTCAAGTTTAAAATTGAATAATATATATATATATATATATATATATATATATATATATATATATATATATTTAGCTGATTAAATTGATAATATTTGGAATTAGAAAAGAACTATAATTTATGTTGTAACTTTCTATAATTTTTTTTTTATATACTTACTGAATCATTATAGTGTAATTTAATAAAAATCTGTAAAATTTCATGATTCACACACACAACACACGTATGATCTTTCCTTATATATGGTTTAGTGGTGAAAGGAATCCCTTATTTTTAGATAGGGTTGGTTATTTCCCTAAGTTTAAGGAATTCAGATTATCTCCCTTGTCTTTGCTTAAGCAGACAACCTTTTTTGTGTCATTTTTCTGTGTTTTTCATTTTTTTTTTCTGCTTCATCTTAATTTATTCTTTAAATTCTTTGTTTCTGTAAAAAATTGTTTTTCATAATATTGAAGTTTTTGAACATATATAAATATACACACCCAGTACAAATGTATATATAATTTTGAACAGAATTGTAAAATTTCTAAATTCAAAATATAATACTTGGGCATGGGGAAAAAAATCATTGAAAGTAAATTTTGAGGTAATTTTGTTTTTATCAAATTTATTATTAACACAGCTGGAGTGAGAGGAAGCTATGACTTTTTTCTTTCTTTTTTTTTCATTCTTTTATCTATATTTTTATAACTCCAAAAGAGAGCAGATGTTTAAAAATATCAATTTCTATAAACAAGGACAGAGACAAATGGACCAAAATCTTTATTTATTAAATAGTAGATCATAAAATCCATTATAACATCGGAAGAAATTCTAATACAATTCATATCTTGTTATTTCAAACTAAAAATAACTTTAATTGAAATGTTAATTTCTATTTTATTTTTTTAATCAAATAACAGAATTCAGCTTTAATCAAAGCTAATTCTGTACCAATATAGTCATATCAATAAGTCTGTACCTTAATAACAGATTTTTTATAAAAGCATTTATTTTTCAACATAATCACTTTCTATGTCAATGCACTTAATTCTGTCATTAATATTAGTTACATAAACCAAACTTATTTGTGCAACTGGAGAAAATAGTGAATAACAAGGCAAACTTATTTTTTCCTTTTGTTAAATTTTATTTTACTTTCTGCATTAAGTACAGGTTAAAATTTAAAACCTTTAATCAATCTGCTTTAAATAAAGTTTCTTTTCTTCGGATTTAAATTTACAATCGATTAATGACGTTTGCTTAATTCTACAAAAGCTGACGATAATCAAACATTTTGACAATTCCTCCTTCTCCTCTTGTTTTTATTTGTTAATAAGTTATTTGGGGTAAAACTCATAAATGCTGAACTTTTCTGATAACTTCATTGCAGAAATTGTAGCAATTTTCTTTTTTTCTGTATAAAACAAAAAGTTTTGCAACATTGCAGTCCAATTATTTAGCATTGGGTTTTAACAATTTTATGTTAGTTAAAAATTTATTTTTTGAAACCTGATTCAATAGCTAAGTCCAGCATCCCTTAAAAAATTTCAAATTTCAATAATATGAAATAATTACTTTCAACACATTTACTTGTATATAAAATAATTAACTTACTATACAAAACTTGCTTTCTTCTTTTTTTTAATTTCTAAAAGAATATCCACCAAGGTTTTATATGCAAAGTTGAAATGAGTATTTATTCCTTCTTGTAAATTACAACACAGTAATTATTATTATTATTATCAATATTGTTATTATTATTTCTTCTTTTTTTTATTAACCATTTCATCCCAAGCAAGGCAATAAAGCCACTAAGATGCAAGGGGTTACTGAGTGTTAGAGAATATGAGACAAAGAAAAGCATTAAGGAGCCGGATTAAAACAAAAGTTAACAACTGACATTGCATTTAAATTTTTGAAGATCAAATTTGGCTGGAAAGAAAAAGAGATTTCCACAAGTGAGAAGTGTGAGAAAAGAAACTGTTAGCATAGAACTTAATTACATCTAGTCATTTCAACTGTATATTATCATTGTTATTATAGGTTTACCCTGGCTGTTTTTGCTGCACATTTTATCAGGTTTGGGTTTGGTTTTTTTCCTGGTTTACTATAGTTATATATTTCAATAACATTTAAATGCTTATCTGTAAATAGAGCAATTTTTTTCTTTTAACATTTTCTGCTAAATTATGGGGTCAGAGAGGGATTTCATCTACAAACAAATTAAGAACTCTCCTTAAATTAGCATTTTTTTTTTTTAAGTTTTTCTTTAATAATTTCTGCTTGAATTTCTAATATAAGGAAATATCTTCATATATTGTTGTCTCCATTTTTGTTGTGTTATTCCCAATGCTTTGCCAGTTGCAACTTCCAAAAGGCACCTAAAATAATCCAGAGGAAACTTTAGATGAAAAGTTGTACCTATAACATCAGAAACAAGAATAACAGTTCAAATAAGAAATCTGATTCAGATAAATTTTTCTTTTTTTTTTTTTTTTTTTTTACTGCCTCAGAATTTCTTTTCACTTGAAATTTAAAAAAAAAATAATTTTTATTTATAAATTATGGTTAAGTTGATTATGTTTCTTGTTGATATAATCTGAGACGCTCAGAAAATATCTGATTTTTTTTTTTTCTATAATTTAAAACGGAATTTCTTTAAAATGAGAAAGATACAAATGGTGGTTATCCAAAGAAATAAAAGGAAAAACATTGATTAAATGACATGGTTGCTTGAATTTTATAAATAATCCATCTGTTTTCTAGAAACTACCATGTGTTGCCAATAGATTGCATTCCATTCTATCTATTTTCTAATTGTTCAATATTAATTCCTGAGATGAAAGTTTAGACAACTTGCTCGGTGTTTGCTGCTTTGTGAATGTTCATACTGTGACTCTATACTAAACAAAAGCTGAAATCCATAAAACTGTTGATATTGATATACAGTGATATTGGCCGGTCGAGGCTGTTGAATTGCTTTTTTAGAAAAGTCTGAATCCTAATCTTCTCATTCCTTTATGGCTAAATTATTAGGACAGACTGAGCTCTTAATCATTGTTAGAACAACCAGCTGTGAAAACTGAAAATTTTGAATTCAGATTTTCTAGCAATAGATTCTGGATCAGCATGATAAGGGAAGTCCTCTTGATTCTTATACCTGACAAAAGGCTTGCATCTTGCAGTCTATTGAGAAAAAAAAAGTTTGATTAAGTTAGCAAGATTGGATTATTGTTTTGAAATGAAATTTTGATGTAATTCTGGAAACCCAGCAATAGTTTAAATAGCAAGGCAGACTAGGTTCTACAGGCTTGGGTAGAAGCCAATCTAAGAAGGAATCCTTCTATTCCAAATTGTGGAGAAAGCATCAAAAAACTACTATCTTTCCTAAGAATTCATGGCAATTCACAGATAAGAAAAAACAAAATCTCTTCAGATCTATAGCTGCTTACGTCCTGAAGGGCCATGGCATTTAAAAGAAAAAATTATGGAAAAATGCCACTTTGTTTTTATGGTTTTAAAAGAAAAAGTTGAGTAAATAATTTTCTCATAAGGTTTTGACAGCAGTTACCAAGTTTAACATAGTCTGTCACAAGGCTACAAGTGTGGGAACACCAAGTTGAACTTATGTCAGTAATATTCAACAAGTCTAGCTTACTTGTTACTAACCTTTGCTTTGCAGTGAAATACCCAATTAGTTATTTGAACCTGTTCTTAACTATAATGACAGTATTTATTTAACTAATCTTAGTACATACGTGTGGCTAACATAACTGTTACCAGTGTGGAAAATGGAACTGGTGAGCTGTGGTCAAATTTAACCAAGTCTATTGCATTTAGTTTCGCACAAATATCCCTTAGAAAGGTATGAATCTATCTCTTCACCACCCACCAATACCCAGTTATGGATTAAATAGTAAGGTAGACCAAGATCTATAGCCTTGTTTGGCAGCCAGTCTAAGATAATTACTATTATAAATTTAAAATAGGAGTAGATAGGTTTGCCTATCATCTGCATTAATACTCCTCCCTGCTCTTTTGAAAAGGAGCAGAGATTTATCTTTCATTTACTGTTTAGGATTGAGCTTCCAGATGCTTCTAAAATCTACTTCAAAATTATACTTCTAACATCTCCGCCTAAAATTAGAAATTTTATTTATTATTTATTTATTTTTTCCTTAATAAGAGTAAATGGGTTCACCTATCGCCCGGTTCACACTCCTCTCCAGTCTTTTGAACAAGAGTAGAGGTTTGTTTCCTGTTTAGGATTGGGGTTTCTGACTCTTCTAAAGTCCTTTTCATTCTCTTTTACCCCTAGTAGCCCCTTGCATCTTAGTGGAATTATCATATTGTTTCCCACTCAGTAGCCCCCTTGCGTGTTAGTGACTTTATCACCTTGCTTGGGGTGAACTGATTAAAAAAAAATACCTGCAGGAAATAAATGGGAACCATTCCTCTATCTTTCCTAGGAAGTCATTGCAATTAACAGATAATAAAAATAATGGAATCTATGGCAAACCATGATAACCTACGCCCTGAATAGTGCTTTTCTGAACATAGCTTAGATGTGGTACAAGGCCTAGAGTATGGAGCACCCAGTGAGGATCGAACTCACTGCTCAGTCTTAATGTAGCAAGACAAACTTGCTAACCATTTTCATCACTTTAAAGTGCCCAACCTGCACCCTGAATGTATATGATATTAATTTTTTTTATGTAATAATCATACTAATAATGAACCATACTAATATTTTTTTTTATGTAATAATCATACTAATAATGAACCATACTAATATTTTTTTTATGTAATAATCATACTAATAATGAACCATACTAATATTTTTTTATGTAATAATCATACTAATAATGAACCATACTAATATTTTTTTTTATGTAATAATCATACTAATAATGAACCATACTAATATGGTTCAAGGCTATGATCTGTGAGGATCGAACTCACAACAAAAATTGGTTTAAGAAACTTTGAAATCTTAGCTGGCTTAGTAGTGGTTCTCATTGTTTATTTTTTATGCTTTTTATTCATGAAAATCGTTTCCATCTCTTTAGCTATGCTATCGAAGCCAAGGATAGAACACTATAGTCAATACAAGAAAAACTTACTTATTCTGAATTCATATTCCCCGGCGAGACACCCGTCCCATACAAAAATTTTATTTTTTTTTTTTTTTTGATTTATCTGATTTTTTTTTAAATAAATAAAAAAAAAACAAAAAAAACGGTGTATAGTAGAAACTTGAACTTGAGTATTTTTATTTATTTATTTTAATTAAGGCTTACAAGTTGAAGTAACACTGTCTTGTAGTCGAGTCAGTTTAGTAAAATTAGCTAAGTGTGGCTTAAGGTCACACTAGTAGAGCAATCAGTGAGGACTGAACTTACTGGTAGTGTTTTTGCGTAACCGGCTTGCTAATAATCAGACTGTCCATGCCTCTACGGCAGGCGGACCGAACCTGTACGATGAGATGCGATCTATGTGCCTTTTTTTGCTTTTTTTTTTAACATGCATGCATTCAAACGTAGATACGTTCTTATATAGGGTATTTGTCTAAAAAGCAGGATGAGTAGTTAAATTTAACAAGGTCAGCAACCTGCTGTCTGTTGCTAAGCTGTACATAGTGTTTGTTTTTACCTAACAACTACCGCTTAATAATCGTTGGTAGTAAGAAGTAGACCTTGCCGAGCTGGTACGAGTGAAGAAGTCTTACCGTGGCCTTTTCTTCTTTCTTTCTCTCTTTCTTCAGTTGCGCGGGCGGGCGGGCGAGAATCTTTTTAATTGATTAGGCCTTATCTTGCAATTATTCATTAAGATTGTGTTCATTCTTTCTTTGTGCTAAAACTTTGTTTCTTTTATTACTCGAACACTTCTGTCTCCCCATTTTAATCTCTCACTTTCTACTTCTCCCCATACCTGTTCCTTTTTTTTTTTTTAATTATCCCCCCCTCTCTCTCTCTTTTTACTTTCTCTATATTTCTTTTATTTATACTTTTTTGGTTTGTCTACCTACACTCACTCCTCTTTCTATTTTTTCTCTCTTTCCCCGATTCTCTACTCTTTCTTCTTCTACCTTCTCTCACCCCTTTGTTGTTTTCTATCCCTTCTTTTTTCTCTCACCGTGTCTTTTTGTTTCTTTAAAAAAAAAAAAAAAGAAAGAACTTTATTGTCCATTGTCGTTAATTTAATTTGTTCACCTTTTTAGTCTCTCTCTCTTTCTCTCATTAGTACTGTCCCATTTAATACCACATACTTCGTTTCTCCTTGACTCTTAAAAAGCGCGCGCGTGCGCACACACACACACATTGTACTCTCTCTCTCTTTTTGCCTTGTCGTCTCTCTAACGTTGACAGCATTGAATGCAAACTGAACCCCACCCCGTGTATATTTTTCTTCTTCTCCCATGTGTGTGTGTGTGTGTGTGTGTGTGTGCGTGTGCTCGCGCACGCGCGCTCACGTGCAGGGTTTGCAGCATGAGAACCACTCTTTTCATGCCCTGCTTTTATAAGAAGGTTTTTGCTGCTGCTGCTGTTGTTGTTGGTTAACTGCTCTTAACTGCAGAATGTGCGTTAAAAAAAAAAAAAAAAAAAGAAGTTATATCGGGTTAGTTAGAGAATATAAAAGATGGTTGTCGTGTTAGGTGGTAGGCAAGTCAGTGCACTGCATTTCGCTGGTAATGTGATATTTCAGGAATGTCTTCCATCTAGTGTCTCCCACCTGTTCAGCTGTGTTCTCCCCCCCCCCTGTTGAACAACTACCCCCACATCAGAACTTCGCCCTCTCCCTCTCTTCACGAACCGTATAATAAACTACCAAACATTCCACTGCCCTTCACCAACCCTACCACTTTTCACTTTTAACGCTACCCCCATATTTACTACTTTCAAAGTTTTATATTTTTATTTCCCCTCTATTTATTACGAAATCCCTTTTAAAAATGATCTTGAATATATAAAGTTTATTTGTTTATATAATTTAGTTCAGTTAAGAGTTTATGTAACAAAACTTTATCATAGTAAGTAACTCTTAGTATTTTTATTATTATTATTATTCAAATCATATCACCCCATGCAAAGCAGTAAAGCTACTAAGATACAAGGGGTTATGGAGTGTGAAAGAATAAGAAAAAAAGAAACAATAGAAGAGTAATCAAAAAGTCAATAGATAGCAATTCGAATTTCATTTAAATTTTGGCTCCCTGAGCAGTGCTAGGAAGTTTTTCTCCCCTGAGTCGATCCTCCAGATATACAAATCCACAATTCGCCCTTGCATGGAGTATTGCTGCCATATATGGTCTGGCGCCCCTTCTGTTTGCCTCGGGGTTCTTGATAGGATCCAGAAGCGGATATGTAAAATGGTTGGCCCTGCCCTGGCATCTCGTCTACAGTCACTTTCTCACAGACGCACCGTCGCCTCCCTCTGTCTATTCTACAAATACTTTCATGGAAATTGCTCCGAGGAACTGCATTCGCTGGTTCCCAAACTTCATGAGTTCAAGCGCCCTACGAGGCTGGCATCCCGCTCTCACCCCTTCACTGTCGAAACTCATAAATGTAGCCGTCTCTTCTACTCTAATAGCTTCATGTCTCGCACCTCTCGCCTGTGGAACTCTCTTCCCTTCTCCTGTTTCCCTGAGAGTTATAATCTCCAGCTATTCAAGTGTAATGTCAATCGACATCTCCAGTTGCCTTAATCTATCTACTACCCTCATCCTTTCTTCTATCACTCCTATCTGATCTTCCTATTTTCTGTAACCCCTTGCGTCCTAGTGGCTCCCCGCCTTGCTTGGGGTGAAATGCTTAAAAAAAAAAAAAAAAAAAAAGATCAAAATTGGCTGGAAATTATGTAGCTGGAAGAGAGTTCCACAAGTGAGATGTGTGAGAAAAGAAACTGTTAGCATAGAACTTATGGTTACATCTTGTCAATTTGACTGTGAACAGATGAAACCTTGCTGCCAACCTAGTATTGCATTTAAATTCATGACGTCTAGGTACCATAGCGAAATGTTAATCCAAACAATTATCATGAAAGTATTTATATAAAAGGCACAGGGAAGCTACATTATGGTTGTATGAAAGTGACTGAAGCCGAGATGTCAGGTCAGGACCAATAATATTGCTGAGTCGTCTTTGGATTTTATCAAGAATCTCTAAATATATATCAGGCACATTGAACCGTATGTGGCTGCAATATTCAAGGGATGGATGAATGGTAGACTTATAAATATGTAAGATAGATTCAGGAGAGAAAAATTGTCTAGCACTAGATATTATTACACCTATGTACTCACTACCTTTAGGTGTAGGGGTATCAAGTGACAGCAAGCCCTCAAATTGCTAGTCTTTCATTGAACCACCTGAACCTTTTCTCAGATCTCCCATTCTGTCCCATGTCACTTCTCTTGACAAATTTCCAGTTCAATAGCTATCACAAGCATGGATCCAGGGGACGCTCCGAAAATAATGCCTCCTATCTATTTCCACTAAAACTATAACAGATACAAAGAGCACAATGTTTTTGAGAAAGTTTTCAGCTACTAAATGTCTTTTTGTGTTTTGTTTTTTTCTCCCCACTATTAGCAAATGTATTTTTGTGATCAATGAACAAAAGCTTGCATGTCATGCTTATAAATACAACTTGTCACACATGTTCTTGCTGCCATTGTTGAAATACATTACCCACTGCCTAACTGTGCTTACAGGCACTGTTTGATTTCCATAAAAAATCAGCATATTTATATAGAATTAATACAAATTCTCTCACTCACTCACGCACATGGTAAAATTATCACTGTTATAATCAATGAGAATGTCGAGAAATGAGATTTTTTTGATTTGATATTTACTGTTCATAAGTGAGCTTTTAAACGGAATGTTTTTCAAAATATTTTTTAAATCCTGTCTACTATGAGTTTGGTTTGGATGAAGATGTCAATAAATGAAATTTAAGATGGATTTTTTTCAAAATTCGTTTTAAGTTCTACAATAACATAAACAGATTTGATTTGGATGAAGATGCATCTGGCATAAATGGCAGGTTTATTTATTTTATTGACTGTTTTGTTTCCTAAGTTGGCCATATAAAAGGCTGAAAATAAAGGACCTAGAGGGCTGCCCATAGCGATAGCGTCAGTCTGGGTATAAATATTATCAAGGTGCTCATGGAAAGAGGGCGTGTGTTGTGGATACAAAATGTTCTTTTTTTTTTTTTTTAATATTGTGCAATTAATTTTCATAAGTGTCAGAGAAGAATGATGAATAATGTTAATTAAAACAATTGTTTCATGGACTAATATATATATATATATATATATATATATATATAAGATAAACCTAAGGAGCCAGGCAAACCTACCTAGGTTTCACCTAAACATAACGTCAGGGTAATACTGGCCAAAAAGTCTCCTTAGGATTATCTTAGATTTTGCTCTACTTCATGTATTGAGCACTTTACGTAGTTGCATTTTACTCATGTTGGAGGTTTTTTTCTTTGGACTTTGAGCAATTGTTTTCGCCTTAGTTTCATGTTCTTGGTTCTTTCTTTATTTATTCCTCATTTTTCCTTGGGTACTGGTTTGTTCTACTACAAGCCGAAATACCCAAGGTTTTTCCAAAGTACCACCATTTTTATATATATATATATATATATATATATATATATATATATATATATATATATATATATGATATCACACATAGAGTGCTTGATGTAATATAACAGAGATATTAAGTATATATTAATAAATATACATATTATCCCTCACCAGTAGCACGATTTGGAGTTTTGTACATAATGTGATCTTCAGGTGCTGAGTAGTTGTGTGACCAGTGAAGGATAATACATACATACATACATATATATATATATATATATATATATATATATATATATATCTGCAACTAATTTCTCTTTCTTTCTCTCTCTCTCTTATATATATAATTATACTGTCAGGTTTTATTATGTAATTCTTATTAAAATCCTTATTAAAATATTAATTTATTTTAGGCATGTTACTTTTTATTACGAAAACAAAATGCAGGATAAATTTTTGTTTATAAATAAATTCAAAAGATATTATCGATAGTCATATATTTGATTAGCAAAATATGCTGTAGAAATTAATAAATTATTTATTTCACATATTAATATGGATTCCTCGACATTCTGTAGTGTTCATCAGTCTTTACTGATTTTTAACTTTTCAGCTCTTTTGACATTGCTTTCTTTGTTTCTATATTGTTTTTTTCATTCTAATGTCCATCTCTTTTAATGATGGACCACAAGCCTTATTTTAATGCAAAGTCATTCTATTAGCATTTTTGAAAAACTTTTTGGCAAGGTGAGTCAACTTTGAAGGTGCATTGTCTTGTGTATGTATGTGTATATAATATATATATATATATATATATATATATATACTTTTTGATTTAAATCTCTTTTGTTATGATACTTCACCATCAAAAAATATCTTGTTTAAGAACTTTGAAAAAGTTGTCCTGAATATATCTTGGTACAATTATCAACTTTAGAGAGACCTATAACTTTGATTGCCTCTATTACTTTACCTCCCTGAATGTTTCTTTCTTAATCACCTTGTTTTCTATAAGTGACCCAACAAACTTTCTGGTTCATCCAATGTAGCTCTACATTCATCTCTAAATATTACTGTTGAGAAATCTTTTCCATGTACTACTTCAAATATCTTTTTGCTGGCTAATTTAATTTTCTTGCTTATTCTTTTAATTTTTTAAAATTGCTTTTCCTAACATTCCTAAAGCTATTTATTACATTGGCCAAAAAGTTTGTTTGTGTATTAAGTAGAAAATTTACTTAATTAACTGAATAAACATTTTAACCAACCCAATATTTCTAGTTTTAATGTTGCCAATGTTTTTGATTTTTGTCCATTGGTTAAGAAGTCTTCCCAATGTCATGATCCCATTGGTCAATAACTTTACAATGTCTGATTTTGATTTTATATCTTTTTTGTGCCCCGCAGCAGTCTTTATGTATCTGAAGTTAAAAAAAATATCAATAACTATATGATAATGTATTCATTTACAATATAATGAACGTCCATCAAAATGCATTGTAAAACCTACCAACACTAAATAATTTATTGTATTTCTTGTTAAGACAGATATACTAAAATTCATAACACTTATTTATTATATAAATATATCCTGAAAATTTTACCAACATCTATTGCTTAATAACAATGTTATTGTAACTTGCATAATAAAATATATCATATACGTATGTGTTCAAGAGGGTAGGGGAAATGTTTTAGGTTTTACTCTCTTTCGAAAAACTAACCGAATGACCAAACCCTTCTTTTTAATTTAAAATATATATATATATATGGCTTTTCTAAGCACAGCTTAGATGTGGTACAAGGCCGAAATTATGGGACACCCAGTGAGGATCGAACTCACTTCTTAGTCGTAACTGTTTTAGCGAGACAAGCTTGCTAACCATTATACCACGCGCAGGTGTCTAATATAAGAGATTCTTGGTTAGGCAAAGAAATTCAGTATTGCAACTTCATATACATGTATAATTCCTTATCACTCTGATATTGAGCTGGTTTGTGCATATATATATATATATGTGTATATAAATAAAGAGAAAGAACAGTAAGATATAAAATCCGGTGTTCTTATAGATATTTTTATTTTGACAAAATAGTGCTCAATGTAAATTTACAGAGCATTAATATTATAAATTAATTGATTTAAAATATGGTTATTTTCGCTACACAGTTCCAACCATGTTTTAAAAATAGAAGCTAAAAACCCCTAATTTAATCTTGCAATTAAATTAAAAGCATTAGTTCCATTTCATCTTCAAGCGAGGGCCT